AAAGAGGACAGAGTACTTTATAGATTGACATTTCACTTACAAAACGACCAATCAGTTACCTGTCAATGCAACACCTCTTTTTTAACGCACTGGCCAGATGAAAGTTGCGCTTGTTGATGTTGAAACTCATGACAATCCTATCCCCCTACAATCCTACACCATGAGACAAGGGAAGGTGTGGGCGGTCATTTGTTACCCCGGAAAGCCTTTTGTTTTTATAAATTTAAAACGGTGTGATAATTGACCGTCCCACACCTGCCACGAAAATTAGACATGTTAATTCGATCCGACGCTGACCTCAGAGTGTTTTGTAAGAAGGCTAACAAGCGTAAATTTTTGTCTGCCTGAAGTACTATATAAAACGCTAATTACACACAATGATACGCAAATCAATCCCCACGCAATAAACATGACATGAACTATGCATGAACCATCCTCCAACGCTGGGAGGTGTCGTCTGATATTGAGACAAACCAACATGAAGAACACCATTTGCTTGACACAACTCAAGGTTAATGACCTTTCAGCTAGTGGATCTGCTCATGCAAAGACCTTTAAGTTATAAAGTCTGGCCCTTGGGACTGGGTCACGTAGCTCAACAAGTTCACACCTGTAACGTTGGCGTTCGTGGCGCTGCGCGACTCATCCAGCGCGACTTAGCCCTACCTACCACACCTGGGCCACAAATGCATGCACAAAAGCGGATATTCCCAAATCCAACCATGAGCTGCTAGGCAAATGCCTCATGAATTACGGGTCCAGCTTGAGTGTAGGGATGTGTGCACCACAGGAAGCTTCGGCTTTGGGTACAGCCCCCAAACGCGGGTTCCGACTAGCTGGACCATCCCAAACCAAACTGGAGAGAGGTATTGAAGGTTGTCAGGTCTGAATTTGGGGTTATTGTTCACTGGCAACTGGAGCCCCAACTGGCAACTGGTCTACTGATCAGCCGCTTCCCAAGCTCCAACCCATGACGCACCTGAAGCTGTCAGAGCCGCTTCCGCACAGCGCGAGCAGGGAAAAAATGGCCGAACAGCGTGGCACCATTCGTCCGCGTCATGGGCAGACACTGCTAGATGTGTACTAGCTAGGAGCTATTTGACCCTGTTTTGACAGGAAAAGGATGGAAAAGGCTATTTGTCATCATATAAGTACCCCAGAATGGGGGTGATTCAGATTCTACAGTAGATTCTGGTACACCATCATTTGTTGTATCCGCATGAAGCTACATCTGCTACATCTACGATCATCTATGGCGGCGAACCAAAAGCCATACGTCCGAAGCCTGCGTCCGACGGGAACCGGAACCGGTTCCAAACGCCGGTTCACCGGAACCGGTGGAACTCCCGGTTCGGTCGCTTCTGACCCGGTCACCCATCTCACGGTGCTGAGAAGAACACCATCTGATCATGATGTGACCAGACGGTGACCAGACTGGTTGGTGAATAGACAACAGTGGTCAACAAAGCTTGGTGTTGCCATCAGGGCAGCCCTGGATAAAGCGGGGTCAGGGAAAGTCTCTACACAACACTGGTCAACTGTTCTAAGATAAGGTAACTGGTATATAGTAGTCTATCTTAAAATGTCACATGGACTAAGAATGAAAAACAATGAATAAACTGTTCTCTATATTTAAACCAATCGGACCCTTAGGGTGACCACACCGCAGCAGCAGTTCGGCGGTGAGCAGCGCCAGCTGTTCTCTCGCCTGTCATCATCGCTGCACATCTCTCGACAGCGCTCTGCCTGGGTGCGATCAAATCTCAGCTCCGAGCTCCATGGGACCTGGAATATCCACATACCTTCTCAGAAGGTAATTGGACCCTCCAAGCCTACATAAATAGTCTCCAATCACCTTCTCAGAAGGTATGTGGATCCATAGGAAATATGGGAACAACAAATAGCAAAAGACCTATACATCCGTTAAAGCTGTGCTGGTTTAGCGTAGTTGCCGGGGTTACGGGGTTAATCCGAGGCATCTGCGCGGTAAAAACGGTAAAAATTGTTGTGTTTGTTGTTTTACCGTTTTTACCGGGGGGGCACCTCTTTTTCGTCTACCATATCCGCGGTAAAAACGTAAAAATTGAAAATGTTAATTTTTTAACGTTTTTACCGGCGGGGCACCCCTTTTTTCTAGCATATCCGCGGTAAAAACGGTAAAAATCATTTTTTACGTTTTTACCGGGGGGCGCTCCTTTTTCTTCTAGCATATCCGCGGTAAAAACGGTAAAAATCGATTTGTTTTTTGGTTTTACCTTTTTTCCTGCGGGGTCGCGAAAGCATGCCCCTTAGCAAAACAACGCTCGCGAACCAGCTTAGGTTACATCCGGTACAAATACCCGTACCAGTACCTAATCGTACTCCTAAAAATGTGTAGTCTTGTATAATTACATGTATAATTACGTACCTGGTAAACATAGAGAAGCATTCTTAAGGGGGGCTAGGGGTATGTCAACAAAACGCTAAGGGAGAAAGCTGATTCTTCGATCTCATCACAGTAGGATTTCTGTACCCTGTGGACATGTGTTCACCTGCACACTGTGACTTAACAGTTGGACACGGCCTTGACTCGACATCATGAGCAAGGTCAAGTGGGATCTTCAGAACGCAAACACATTGGAGTATAGGACAAGTCTCAGGGAAATGCAAGGCCCTTGACAGGTGGTCTCTTACATTGTCACAAGACCTTTCACGATGGTTGATGACTACAATGATCAACTAAGAAGGGCTGATAAGAAAAAACAATATAATATTATATTAGATTAATAGGCAATCCCGTGTTGGAAAGCTTCTCTGAAAATACCCTTGATCAAAAGTTAGTCATGAACAACACACAACTTCTGGAATAAAGAAAAGGTTATATGGTATACGCCGTTACACATTCAACATGTGCTTTCCTTGTATTCATTGGACTCTTAGTTGTCACACGGTATTAGCAAATCACCCCGGAGCTTGATAGCAGCCAGCTACAAAGCCACATGTTGCTAGCAGTTACTGTAACAAAGCATTCCACGCAAAACAGGCCAGATTCCAGCTCCAGAAGCCGGATGCTTTACGAATCTGTCGGAAGCACGCATGTCTCGAGAATGTCTCCAAGCGCCATGCGATGTCGTGTGAGGGCTCCACACGTCTACCAGGACTTCTGGAAAATCATCCCTTCAAAGATAACAGCACGCTAGTAGTAACAGGTGCCACGCTAGTAGTAACAGGTGCCTTACTAGTAGTAACAAGAAGCTATTAAGAAAAATAATAACTTTAATAGCTTTTTGTTACTACCAGTAAGGCACGTGTTACTAGTAGCGTGGCACTTGTTACTACTAGCAAAGGAATCTCATCCAGATGTGTTTCTAGTGAGCGACAAAACCAACCAGGAAACGAAGTCCGAGGATTTCCGATTTCCGATTGATAGGACCTTGGTCAACATGTAGAAGGAGGAACATCCAGAAACCAAAAACCATTGCTGCTTGGTGGTGCCAACTGAATTGAAACTCATATATCATATAATACACCACCCAGATCAGATTTCTCTTCCACCAATCCAAGCGTGCTCTTAGCAGTTGAGTTGAGGCTCGTCATTTTCTGCCGATGTTTTGGCCAAGGCACGGAGTGGGCCGTCGTTCTCCTGGCATGGCAACCACCACACTACGCCAACACCCCCACCTAAACTCCTTGCTACTAGTAGGGATAGCCTCCAACCTATTATACTGTATCAAAAAACGAGGTTTGATTGCCTTTCTGTGGTCACAGTTCACTGGCTGCTGCAAGTCTTCCAGGACGCGCTCTGGTCCTTGTGTATCTACACGGTTCTTTCATGGGCATGAACAAATTCGGCCGGGACAACAAGACATCGTCGTTGATGATGAGGGCGCCCACCTCCATCTCCTTGTTCCTCCGTCCGACGCAAGCATGTCGGGGGCCCGATTCTAAGACCAAGGGACTTGCTGCCAAAAGATCATTGAAATGCTGCAGCATCCGTGAAACATGAAAGCGAAATATGTACAGAACCTATATATATAACATGATTGAATCATTGTACCATTACGGTTGCAATGTGGACAGTATCATATGACAACATAGTGTCCGGTACTGTTGGTGTCCGGTACAACATTCCGAGTTCGAACCATGCGGTGCGATGAGGGGTTGAGATCCCGGGCGGAAAGCGATCATAGTGATACCTGGCAGCGAAACGGATGAACGGATGCGAATGCTGCGAGCGCATGGAGGTTCTTTTTTGGGAGAAGAACTCATCGGCGATCTCCTTGTTTTCTGCGTTGTCCATCTCAAACATTGGATCGGTATCTATATATAGTTATGCAAAATGTGATAACATTGGTTGAGCTTGGGATGGTTCCTAGTATATCACGCTGGACTTCCTGGGCTTCCGTGTAGCAAATGCGCCCTCATTGATCTGCCGCTCAAAGAGCCAGTGGAGGACATGAGGTGCACAATCGATACGAATTGAACTGGATATCCCCTTTCCACCTCCACGACTATTCCAGGGAGTATACATCCGTCCTATTTTGTTCTGCTTGTGTCCCAAAAAATCTGCAACATCATGTTTCGTTGGACGAGTCTCAAAAAGACCACCTTACAAAATAGCAACAGCGATACGAAAACAAAGTTCATTGGTATAAAGCAGGATGCTCTACCCAGGTCTTTAGTTCAGGCACCTTCAGGACCCCAAAAATCAAAAACACCTTCAGGACCCTGCATACCCGGCTTCTTACCCTTCCGTTCGAAAGGCGACAGGGCGGCAACGAAACGGTGATTTCCAGCCCGCCTTAGGTCTAAAGGTTTGAGCCACTTGCAGCTCCAACTCTGCCAGTCCCTTAGTTGCCACCAAGTGATGTCAGGACGGGAGCTGTCGCCCACACTAAACACACACAGCGCAAGGGCGCCACTCATTGTAGTGGAACAAAAACAACACTATGATTCTATGACTGTAACTTGAGGGTGGATGTTAGTCATCTTGACAACAACAATCCTCACAATTTGAGTTGGAAGAGAGAAAATACACACTTTTCTGCTGCAAAAAACACCAAGTCTCTGAGTTCAAGTCCTTGAGTCCAACATGAGCCAGTCACGCGGGTCAGTCAGCCCAGAGCCTCCCGAACCTCTGTTCGGTCCCTGAGGATCTGGACCAAATGGGTTCCAAGAAGTATTGGACTCCAGAGGTGCAGGAAGGCCTCAGTGAGGGATTTTTTTCGGCTTGGTGGGATGGCCTGAGCGATGCTTGGTGGGCCAAGGTGCAAGAAATAACCAGACGAAGCAGGGGAGACAGAAGTGCTGTGAAAGGAAACAAAACCCTCTGAGTCTGCTAAACGGACCTGATGATCTGCGGGTGGGAAGCACCGTTGTCCTGACCTCAGGACCATGCTGCAGTTACACACATATATATATACACATTACATGGTCGTCCTTCTCTCTGACAGTGTGGGAGAACTGCAGCCACTGGTAGCCCTGAAAGCGCCCATGATGTTCTCCATGGAATGACTCCAGAAACATGCGAAAACAATCATGAGTCACTTGGCGGGGTCACTCGTTCTTCTGTCTTCGACCATGCAGCAAAAGAAAGGGAAACAAACCATCCATCAGAAAAAACTGGTTGGCAATGTCATGCCACACACAGAAATACTAACATTCAAACACATCCCAATAAAGGTGAGATCCATGACAGGTGGGTCAATCACTCGCATATCCTCATCCTTGTTCCCCACGCAGATCCTCGAGACATATCTGGAAATATCACACCAGCCAGCTGTATCGGAAGATCTGAAGATCCGCACACAGACCAGACCACTTCGGTTCCCTTAGTCGCCCCGCATGCAGGCGCTCCACTGGCTGTTCTTCTCGAAGCACTTCCTCGGCCCGATGGTCAAGATGATGCAAGATGATATATAGATTCAACACACTTGGCCAAGTCTGCGCGTGTTGTTTGGAGCTCCCCGTTTCTTCTTCAATGCTCTCCGTTCCTGAGGTGGTCATCTCGGGTGGTCTCAGGCCGGTTTGACCCAACAGCACATGTCTGCACATATCTGCACATGGTC